GAATCATTTACTATATACCTTCTTCTTCTTAATCCATCAGCTTCATGTTTATCATTTGTTTTTTTCTTATTTAAGGTTCTTCAAATACGTTTGTAATACCTATACTCGCTCTCATTACATTTCTCTTCTCTATGACTCTTATGATCAGTCAGCCCTGTTCACAACTTGGTTTTAGATTNTTCTCTTCTCTATGACTCTTATGATCAGTCAGCCCTGTTCACAACTTGGTTTTAGATTGAATGGCTTTTGAACTGTCAAAACGGAAACTTCTTGTGATTAATCAATATTTATTATAGTCAAGATCAACATTTTCTAATGATTTTAGTTCGTGCTCATGAATGAAGCCTGTTCAATGTGATTAAACGAAACACAGTATGTTGATACCTCCTTTGACTAGTGACTCCATGTTAGGAAACCTCCTTCGAACTCTCATTGAAATATCACGGAAAATCAAGAGTTCAGTAACAAAATAATATTCCAGTTATGAGGGTGACACGATTAGAATACGAATTGCTCAGTCTTGAAGCATTTCTCATTCAGAATATGATTGACTATGAAGATACGAAACATCATGTTAAACTGCTTTTTTTTATGTTTTTGTTAAAGCAAAGATCAGAAATATTCCAAAATAGGCATGCGAGCGATGAAAAAACAGTTTATTCAATTCACATAGTGCTTAGAGAAGTAATGGTCCTAACAGAAATATCTGATCTGGACATATTTTTCTTCACGAGAAAAAACTGAAACATAACAATTAAACCAATTTACAAACTAAGTAAACTTACTTCTGTTCCTACTATTCCGCTAGTAGCGAGAATGGTGTCCGCACTGCGTTTCTTTAAAACCTTTAATACGAACCTTAAACATTTACTGGATTTATATCGTAGTCTGTAAGACATCTTTCTATTAAGATCAGATATGATTCTGCTGTATGACGTTCTCCCATGGAGAAGCACTTTAACGTATATGATTTTTTTACAGTGCCTGAGCAGTAATAGGCTCTTATTGCGAAAATGCTAACATCCGCTTTGANTTTACAGTGCCTGAGCAGTAATAGGCTCTTATTGCGAAAATGCTAACATCCGCTTTGATTAAAGACCATTCATCCATGGTAATCCTGAAAAGCTTATTTAATTCATCATTTTTTGGGTGGAACAAACCCTATATTTTTGTCTTTTATTTCTTCTTTTATAACAGACNTTTTTTGGGTGGAACAAACCCTATATTTTTGTCTTTTATTTCTTCTTTTATAACAGACTGCAATTTTCTGCTATTTTCTGCAATGAGCTGGTTAACCACAGATGGACTTGGCACTGTGTAGCTGTCGTTCAGTTCCATAACGAACTTTTTGAAAGCTGGTGTGTTAACCAGTCTCATCGGCAAGTTATTGATTGACAGAAGCTCCACAAGAGCTTTATCAATTGAGTTCTNAATGATACCATAAACTTGAGGTTTGGCAATCATTTCTCTTCAGCTTCTTATGGCACAGTTGACATTCAGCAAAATCTCCCCTCTTTTTGAAAGCTAACCACAGAATATCTGTATGACTGTTCATTATTAGGAAAACTGTCTGAACTAAAAGAAAAAGAGGGACATTTAATTACTGATTTTTTCAGTTGTGAACATTTCAAAAAATTTGAATACTACGAAGTAAATATTTTACGCAATTACGTACCGATTTTAATCGGTTTCGATTAATCGGTTCCGATTATTTTTTTAACACTAGGTAAATCAGCTCACAGACGTGCCTTAACCCTAGACCAACGCGTTGGCGTGTTGCGTCGCTTACCTCAGTTACAATGTTCCAATGTAATTGGAACATTCAAAATGTTCTTGATATATAAATAAAACTTATAAATGGAATCATTTACTATATACCTTCTTCTTCTTAATCCATCAGCTTCATGTTTATCATTTG